GTTTTCATTTCAACGGGCAGAATGATGGAGTGCGGAGGGGGCGGAGCTGCTCTCTGAATGGCAGGTGCCACACTGTTCGCTGTACTCAGGGGAAGTAGATTTCAGGTTGTTGACTGCGTGCACACTTGTTTGGCAGCAGCACTAGTGACACGACTGGAAAGTTGAGCTCCCGCGGAGCACATTAGCTACTTTCAATATTTTCACTTTTTCGTCTGCTTCGTGTTCGGTATCTGGAGCTCAAGTTTCATTTTAATCACAGTTTACTTTATATAGCCGTCCCCTGCTGCCGGCTCTTTCTCCAGTGCAGTCTGAGGCAGGTTAATTGAAGGGAGCTGCTGTGGGAGATGAGCTGTAACTATCAATACGGGCCAGAGCACACTTACTGGTATTTTACTGTCTGCAGGAGCTTAATATAACTTCATGATGCTAAGATGCTAAGATTTTCATTGGGAGTGACCAGGATGGATGAATTTATGACTATATCAGAGGGACAGCTCAGGCTGAGAAGTTTGGAGACAAAGTTAGAGAGTTATGGTTGCAGACGAGGGATAGAGACTATATTGGACAAAGGATGTTGAGGATGGAGCTGCCACAGGAGGAAAATATGAAGACCTCAGAAAAGATTCATGGATGTAGTGAAGGTGGAGATGCAGAGGGTGGGTGTGAAAGAGGAAGATGCCAGGGATAGGGTGATCCACTCTGATGGAAAACTGTTTTTTACATTTATATTTGTTTGCATTTAATCCTCCTTCATCGTCTCTGTTTCTAGTTGCAGCAACATCTTTGTGGAGCATCTGTATTCTCCATTATTCATTCTATAACCTATAGTGGCTTTTATACACACACATATATATATATACATATATATTTGTTGGGAGATCTTTTGATGATCATATGGAGACCTGGTGTGGCTGTCTAGTTGTTAGTCCTCTTTTTTAATAGTTGATGTTGGTCAGGTTGGGGTTCCACTGCTAGCATAATGTTTATCAAAGCATCAGATTTATTACTTGTAGTAACAGATCTGAGTTTAGTTTCATCAGTGGACAGATGGAGATGTTCCAAGTATGGCATCAACATGTCAAACATTTTTTCTCTTCAGCTGGCAACAGAGTAGCGAGAGCAGGAACACCACAGTTTCCTCTTAA